TTTTTTTTTTTTTAACTTTATTATGGGACCTGTCATTCATCCACAAACATATAAAGTATACTGAACCTCTGTGTACCTATCACCCACTCCAACAGCCATCAACATTCTGTAGTTCTTATTCCATCTGTCCCCTACTTTTTATGGGGGGGGGGAGCATGTTAAAGCAAATCCTGAACATATAATGTCACTTGTAAAATACTTCAGTCTGTATCTTTAAGATATAAGGACTCTATTTCTTTTGAACACAGAAAGAGGATGAGGTGGTCAGATAGGAGTATTCCCATTTAACAGAGAGGAAGGCTGAGGCCTCAGATCACTCATGGGGCGGGGATTTGAGTTGTTCTGGAGAGTTCTTCTCCTAAGGATGGGGCTCCCTCGGGTTGGACCGGGTGGTGGGAGGGGGAGGCTGGGCCTCATTGGAGGAGGGGGGCCTGGACCTCATTGGACCCTGCTTGGCCCCTACCCTCCCCCTGCCCCGCAGCTGCGGGTCTTCAAGCTGGCCAAGTCGTGGCCAACGCTGAACATGCTCATCAAGATCATCGGCAACTCGGTGGGCGCTCTGGGCAACCTGACGCTGGTGCTGGCCATCATCGTGTTCATCTTCGCCGTCGTGGGCATGCAGCTGTTTGGCAAGAGCTACAAGGAGTGCGTGTGCAAGATCGCGGCCGACTGCAGCCTGCCCCGTTGGCACATGCACGACTTCTTCCACTCCTTCCTCATCGTCTTCCGCATCCTGTGTGGGGAGTGGATCGAGACCATGTGGGACTGCATGGAGGTGGCCGGCCAGGCCATGTGCCTCACAGTCTTCCTCATGGTCATGGTCATTGGCAACCTAGTGGTGAGTTAGGCCGGCTGGGTGGCTCCCCCCGCCCCCACCGCCAGGAAACCCAAGCGTCCGAAACATGTGCATTCAGTTATGTCCTTTAAATTGGGCTGTCCTTCAAGGGCCTTTGCTGCATGTGGTTAAACTGGATGAAATCACTGATACTGTAACGTATTCTACTTCCCCCACCCAAAAGGGCAATTTTATATGGTTTAACCCAGGGGCTCTCCAATTTTAACCTGCTTAAGAAGCACCTGGGAGTTTCTTAAAACCCAGATAGATTCCTGGCCCCACGTCCGCAGAGTCTGATTCAGCAGCTTGGGGGCCAGGGCCTGGGACTCTGCATTTCTAACCAACGCAGCTGTCGCTGGTCCAGAGATGACGCTGTGAGTAGTACCGTTGAAACCTAGTGTTTGGGGTAAAGTAACATGATAACTGGAGTCAGACAGACCCACGTTCCAGGCCCAGCTCTGTGTGACCTTGAACAAGCGACTACTCTGTGGTCAGCTGGGTGCGGGAAGGCGGCACGCGGGGTTGGCATCAGAACTCCCCAGCCTCCTGTCTCTCTCTCACCCTCTCACCCTCCTCCGTTCCTGGAATTGGGCCCCGGGAGAGGAGAGATGGCATAAACTGCTTTCATCCTACCACCTTCTGTGGCTCAGGGCTTCCCTGTGGGGCTGGTGCAGGGGAGGAGCTGCAGGGGGGCCCATGAGGAGCAGGGGTGCAGGCCGCCATCATGCTGACCAGCATTTCTGTGGCTGGGGCCTGGGGTGGCGTGTCTCCACATCCTGACGCCCACAACTCCTGCCCTGCTCAGGGTTGGTGACACTTCTGCCAGGAGCCCTGTGCCCGGCTTCCCCCTGCCGTGGCCGATGCTGCCCTGAGCAACGGCGGGGGGGGGGGGCGGTGCTGGGAAGACGCACGTCCCCACGTTCCACAAAGGCCGGTGGAATCCTTAGGCTGCTGGGTCAGCGCTTCTCAGATATCGCTGAGCTCTGGCTGGGGGTAGGAGTCGGCTGGAGGGGACGGGTGTCACCTCCACTGAGGAAGAGACCCTGGGATGAGGTCCTGAGCCCCCAGGGACAGCTAGGCAGGAGAACCCCAGCTGGCTGTCCCTGGGAGAGGGCCTGGGGCCTGGGGAGAGAGAGAGAAGATGCCCCAGCAGAACTTTGGGGTGGGATTGGGGTGGGTAGGTAGCTCTGAGTAGAAGGTAAGTTTAAGGGCCCAGCATGACTATAAAGATCTGTTGGGTTTCCGTCTGTACGTGTGTAAATTCAAAAGCATTGCAAGCCCCTGTTTTGCCACTTACTGACCGGGAAAACTTGAGACGTTATTTAACCTCTCTCTGGCCTTAATTTTTCTCATGAGGAAAATGGGGAGGGTAATGGTGGTGACCCCCTTCAGCGTGTGGTCTGAGCACTCAGCAAAGCACTTGGTCTACAAGGCCGGGGCCAGGGGGTGGGGTGGAAAGTGACGGTTCAGGTCCTCACCTTAGGCGTCACCCCACCCTCCGCAAGGACTGGGCTCCTGCCCTGCGCCCGTCCCTGCGCAAAGGGCTTTACATGCGTTATCCCTAATGCTCTCCCAACCCTGGGAGGGAGGTCAGGTCCGCGCCGTGCTCCGAGGAGCCCCTGCCCCAAACCACACAGCGAGGGTGAGACTGAGCCCGGACTAGAACCTGGGTCTGCGTCACGCCAGTAACCGCATCAGTAATAGCCGGGGGTGAGAATGACGGTGTCAACAGGGGCAGTAACAACGGCGACAGTTGACCTCTCTGTGCATTTGTCCAGCATTCTGAGAGCTTTCTGTGTATCCATCTCCCGATGCTCACCACCGCCTGACCGCGACGTGCTGTTTCTTCTCTGGTTTGTAGATGAGGAAGCCAAGGCTCAGGGCAGGAAGCTAGTAACCTGCACAGGATTGGAACCCAAGCAGTCTGGCTCCAGAGTCTGGAACCCCTCCACTGCCTCTGTGTGCCTGTCACACATGTGTGTCACTCCCCACACATGCATGCACACGTGTGTGCACACACACACGCACGCATACACACACACACCGCTGCTACTCCTTCCCAGCCCACTCTGCCGCTCTGCTCTCTTGCTTTGCTCAGAAGGACTGGAGCAGCCCGGGGAGGCAGCACTGGCAGGTCCTTGGGCGCTGTCCCCGCCCACTGCCCCCCCAGCCCAGGCCTCACGGAAGCTGGTGTCTGCCAGAGGGCACTGAGGCATCCTGCCAAGGAGTGTGGGGCCCCATGTCCCCTGCATGTGGCACTTGGGCACTTCCCCTGGGTTACGATGAAGAAGAGGAAATGACAAGGGCGTAGGTAACCCACCCCTCAGAGCCCCTGGGGGAACATGATGTCCATCCCCCTTCCCTCCAGGCCTCCTCCCTACGCCTTGCCTGAGACAGCTATTTCTGTCCCAGGCAGGAGCCGTGTGCAAACCCTGCTGACCCAGAGAGCAGTTAATTCCCATCTCAGATGTGTTTCTGGCAACTGGATGCCTCTCCCCCCCGCCACCCCCCGACAAAGGGAAAGAAAGACCAATAAATATTGGTTGGGGGCAAAGGCAGAAAAGCAGCTAGGGGGCAGAGAGATGGGGAGGAATCCCCCCAGCACCTTCTCCCCCAGTGTGTATATATAGATACACACACACTTTAAAGACATTATGCTAACATGGTAGGTAAGGCGATGGTAGAAAGACCTTGGAGGGCCCCCGGTAGAAGCCAGGCTGCGAGAGGCACATAGAGAAGTTGGTCAAAGGTGGACACATATAGGCTCCCCTACTCCTTCATGTCCACTCACACACCCAGCCCTGTTCCAAGGTCCCCAGAGTAAGACCTGGCCCTGCCTCTGGCTGACAGGTGCCAGGACCCCCCACCCCAGCTGGGCTTCACCTTCCTCCTCGTTCCCTGGTAGAAGGTACAGCCACCGTACTGTACAACCTCTGGGGCTGCCATTCACATTGTAGTCTAAATGAATGATATCCTCTAAAGTTATGCAATGACTGGACACCTGGATTCTAGTCCTGATTGTGCTGGATGTCATAGGGCACGTCCCTCTACCTCGCTGGGACTCAGTTTCCTTATTAATAAAATGCTGAGCTGGCCTCAGAGTTAATCGTACTCTTTCCTGTACCTTGTACCTTCTGTCCTTGCACATGTAACAACCAACATGTTTTGAGTGCCTACTGTGTGCTCTACTTATATTGATCTTTTAATCCTCACAACAATGCAAGGAGGTGGGTACTGGAATCATCCCCACTAATACCCATGAGGAAACGGAGGCACAGAGCAGCGATATGATTTGCCTCAGGACACATCGCTAGTAAACTGGGGTTCAAGGCCAAGCAGCATGTGCACCCCAGTGTCTACTGCCATGCAAACCCACTGCATTGTATCTGATCCAACATCTGTCTCTACTAGGTTGGAGCTCCCTGACACCACAATGGGAGAGGCTCAGCAAACATCTGCCTCTGGAAAATAAGGCTGGAGACTGGAGGGGTAGACCAGTAACCTCCTAAGTCTTTCAGTAGGGAAATGGGAAGAAAACCAGGTGGAGCAGGGAATCCCGGGGAGAGAACAGGGGGTGAATAGCAGTAGGGTATGCCCTTCCCAGAGCAATGGGGTACATGCATCTGAGCACCGGGGAGCACAGGCTCTATTAACAGACGGGAAAAGAAGGCTCAGCTGATTCAGGGTCCCAATAAGTCCTGGGAACTCAAAGACGAGAGCCCTGTTCTTTGTTCTGCCTTCCCCAACAGTGGAGGTGGAAGACAGAGTCCTGGAAAGAGCCCCTGTCACCCAGTGGGCCTCCCCAAACCCTGCCTCTGCCATGGTCTTGCAGGCTCCTATCATGTGCCTAAGGCTCTACTTCTTTTTCTGCAAAGTGGGGGTGATAGTAACACTCCTCACCTCCCCGAGCAGTTGTGAGGATCCCAGTAGGTGATATCCTTTCAAATGCCCCACCTGTGGTAGGTCTGATCTGGAGACCTGAGGCCCCTGGTGCTGGCTGAAGGTGGCACCCTTGGGGGGGCCCCCGAGGCTGAGCTGAGGTTCCTCCCAACCCCTCTTCCCCAGGTCCTGAACCTCTTCTTGGCCCTGCTGTTGAGCTCCTTCAGTGCCGACAGCCTGGCCACCTCAGATGAGGATGGCGAGATGAACAACCTGCAGATCGCCATTGGGCGCATCAAGTGGGGCATTGGCTTTGCCAAAGCCTTTCTCCTGGGACTGCTGCACGGCAAGATCCTGAGCCCCAGGGAAATTATGCTCAGCCTTGGGGAGCCCGAGGAGGCCGGGGAGAGCGCCCCAGAGGACGAGAAGAAGGAGCCGCCGCCCGATGAGGGCGACAAGGACCTGAAGAAGGACAATCACATCCTGAACCACGTGGGCCTGGTTGACGGCTCTCCCCCCAGCATCGAGCTGGACCACCTCAACTTCATCAACAACCCCTACCTGACCATTCACGTGCCCATCGCCTCCGAGGAGTCCGACCTGGAGATGCCAACGGAGGAGGAGACCGACACTTTCTCAGAGCCTGAGGATGGCAAGGTGAGCCCATCACAGGACCTGGCTTGAGGGGGCCAGGGGTCGGATAGACATGGCTTCAAGTTTTTGCGTGACCCTAGAGAAGTCACAAATGCTCTCTGAGATTCAGTTTCTCCATCTGTAAAATTGGCGTAATGGCACCTACCTCAGAGCATGGTCAGGAGCATCAGGTGAGATGCTGTGTGTAAGCACATAGAAGGCTCTCTGTGCATGGTGACTGACGATTATTATTCCGATGGGCCCTGCCTGTCCTTCCCCAGTGTCCCTTCGCTCTGGCTCCGCACCTCCACCTGGGTTCCTGCTCACCAGCAGGTGGTGCTCTTGGACAGGATGTTCCTACCTGTGGCACCTTAGCTCCAGGGTGGGGACCCAAGAGGCCTCTCTTAACCCCGCGCCGAACTTGAAGGCGCTCCCACTATCCCACTGGGGCTGGTCCCAACCTCCCAGTGTGGGCCAAAGTGCTGGGTCTGGGCTGGGGACTCTGAGAGGTGGAGGGGCTTGGGGGGCCACGGGGTTGGGTACAAGGAGAGCAGAGAGCTGGGCATCTCAGCAGTAGCCCTGACCCACCCACACAGGAGATGCCCCCTCCTCCTGCCCCTTCCCTGCGAGGGAGACGGAGGCACTGGTCGTCACCCCCAGAAGCTCAGGCTGAGGCCAGACCTTGCCTGAGCCTCTCAGGGGGGCGGACTCTGAGCCGCAAAGCCTATCCTCCAGCTCTGGCCGAAGAAGGACTAGCACCTCAGGTAGGGCAGGGCCCCCGTCCATCTCTACCCTATCGGCCCTGGGCCTGGCTGGGCACTGGAGTCTCAAAGAACTTTGCTCTGAAAGCTCTTGACTCCTTATTCCCCCCAGATATGTGTCACGCTACTTACCAGGGGGCCGAGTGCCTGCCAAGCTATAAATACCCAGGGAAATGTGGCACTGACCTCGGTGTGAGGAGCAGAGGTGGGGGAGGGCTGGAGAGCACCCAGGGCCAAGGCTCTGGGGACTCTCAGGGGGGCAAACAAGGCTCCAAGGGGGACTGTGGGAGTTGGGACACACAGGCAGGGCAAGTGGCTTAGTGGGTGCCCTGGCTGACCTAATGCCTGCCTCGGTTTCCCTTTCTGTCAGCTGGGCACAAGGGGACCTCCGTAATTTTCTGGTGACCATTCTGGATCCAGAGGCTGCCCCCCAAGCTGTCCTCTTCATCTTCCCCTTCAGGGACCTCAACTCCAGCCACGAAGGGGTCCCCTTGAGGAGGGGGGCTAGGGCCAGGAACCTGGCTTGGGACAGCACCAGCTGAGGTGGGGGAGGCCTGGCCAGGCCAGAGCCCCAGCCTACCCACCCTGCCCCACTCCCATCGGGTTTCCTTGGCCCCAGGCTGGAGCTTCTGCAGGGGAAAGTTTTCCATTCCTTCTGGGCTCCTCAGCCCAGCAGCCCCTGGGCATGGGAAGGCTCAGAACTTGACACTGCACACCATTCCCTGTGGGCTATGGCAGCCCTGGCTCCATTCTGACCCCTTTCATGCTCCCTCAAAAGTCCCTTCAGGCCTCTTATTCCTCCGCTGCCCCCACCCCGTGCACGCTTCCCAGGGCCCCCAGCCCAGCTCAGCCACGCCCAGCCTCCTCCCTCACCTGAGGCCCTCACCTGCCTCCTTGTGTCCTCACATCCCTTCCCAGGCCTCGGCCTGCCCTGCTCCAAATCGAAGCCCCGCGAGGGCAGAACCATAGCTGCCTTGGTCACTGTGGTTCTCCTGCAGAGGCCACAGTGCTGGGTCCATAATCCGGGGCCCAGGGAATGAATGAATGATGAATGAACGAGTAGGTCAGCTCCACCCCCTCCTTCTCCTCTCCCATCTGGTCTCCCATCCTGCCCTCTGCTGGTTCACCTGGTGGGAGGACCCAGGGCTCACGTGACCCCGCGGTCCCCTGCAGAAGCCACCGCAGCGCCTCGATGGGAACTCCTCCGTCTGCAGTACCGCCGACTATAAGCCCCCCGAGGAGGACCCCGAGGAGCAGGCTGAAGAGAACCCCGATGGGGAGCAGCCTGAGGAGTGCTTTACGGAGGGTGAGGGCGAGCCCATGTGCGTTTACCCCCACCACCTCGCCTGGTGCCTCCCCCAGCCCAGCAGCCCCTGGAAGGGACAGACCAGGCCAGGGCCTTTGGGGCGCAAGAGCCCTGACCCAGCCCCAGCCAAGTGCCTCCTCGAGGACATCTCAGGATCATGTGCATCACCGAAAGCATGCAGAACTTCCCGTCCCCCCCCCCCACCCCGCACCAACATGCTGCCCTGCCCTGACACAGCCTGGGGGAGATACAGCCCCAGGGAGGGGCGCCAGAGCCCGGATGCCTCCCAGCCCCTGACCCCCTGAGCCTCAAGCGTGTGCGGTGGGTGCACACCCGCCCCTGAGGACTGCCGTGCGGGATCCCCACAGGGCCCTGAGTGTGACCCCGTGCTCGGGGACGGCCAGTGCTTGGGAACGGCTGCTCTAAGACCGTTACCCTCCTTGGCTTCATCTGCAGAGAGGGGCCAGCCCAGCCCTTCAGGAGAGAGCCCTGCGGACACACCGTTGCCCCCAGGGCGTGGGCTGGGCAGCATGAAGGCCATCAGGGAGAGGTGGGGAGGATGGGATCAGCCGATCCCCGGGAAGGCGGTGGGCACACGCTGGCTGCACGTCCTGAGGCAGCCCCCAGTCCTGTGATGTGGTGCCCTTGCCCCTTCCCTCCCCCAGCCTGCGTGCAACGCTGCCCTATCCTCTACGTGGACATCTCCCAGGGCCGTGGGAAGATGTGGTGGACACTCCGCAGGGCCTGCTTCAAGATTGTCGAGCACAACTGGTTCGAGACCTTCATCGTGTTCATGATCCTGCTTAGCAGCGGAGCCTTGGTAAGCACCGCCCTGGGGGACGGGCGTGGGCAGAGGCAGGTGCCAGGCCCAAAGGAGGCCCTCCCAGGCTCCCTCCTTCCCACATCATGGGAGGGACAAGGCCCGGGCAGTCTGGACCCCAGAGAATCCTAAATGGACTCACTTGTGGTTGCAGGATATGATGTAGAAAATGTTCATTTTCTTAAAGCGACAGGCGGGGTCCCACTCTGTGTGCACCCCCAGTGATAGGTGCCAGCCAGGGCAGAAGTGGGAAGGCCCTGGGAATGTTGAGTTGCTTGGGTGGGGGGCAGTCAGGGTTGAAGATGTGTCATGGTGCTGGCCCCCAAGCAGATGACTGTCACCCCTGGGGAAGGGCTGCTGAGGGGTTTCTCCCCAGGGGTCTGGCACCCGTGGGCCCTGGGGAGTCTGGGAGAAGCCAACAGCCTGCCCCTGGCCTGGACCCAGTGCCAGACCCCTGGGAAGCCCCAGCAGCAGGCAGGGTGGGGGACGTGGTTGCTGCCCCGGCCTCCCGGGCCCCGGCCACCCCCGGCCATGCTGGCATCCCCAGGCCTTCGAGGACATCTACATCGAGCAGCGGCGAGTCATCCGCACCATCCTGGAGTACGCGGACAAGGTCTTCACCTACATCTTCATCCTGGAGATGCTGCTCAAGTGGGTGGCCTACGGCTTCAAGGTGTACTTCACCAATGCCTGGTGCTGGCTCGATTTCCTCATTGTGGATGTGAGTCTGCCCCGGGGGATGTGAGCCAGATCCAGAGGTGGCCCTGAGGCCGAGGGGCTTAGAAAGCCCTGGCCTTGAGGCCCTTCCTGCCCTGACCAGCCCACCCTCCCTCTGCAGGTCTCCATCATCAGTCTGGTGGCCAACTGGCTGGGCTACTCGGAGCTGGGTCCCATCAAATCCCTGCGGACGCTGCGGGCCCTGCGTCCCCTGAGGGCGCTGTCCCGATTTGAGGGCATGAGGGTGGGTGCCGAGGGCGGGCTCTGAGGAGGGCTAGGGATTGGGGGAGCAGCCTCCGCAGAGCAAGGTGCAGGGGGCGCAGGTCTGTACTCCAGCCACCACAGGGGGGAGGAGAGGCCTCAGACTCTGGGCCCCGCTGAAGGCAAGATCTGAGGGCCCCCAGACATCCTCCCACACCACCCAAGGGCCCCTTCCGGCCCTCAGCCCCTCCGGAGCTCCTCCCTGCCACCGCTGGGGGACAGCAGAGGCTGCATCAGCTCCCAGGGGGGAGCTGTGAGGGCACAGGGGTAGGGAGGGAGGAAGGGAGGCAGGTCGATGGGTGTATAGGCATTCCTCCCCAGCCTCACACCAGGGCCGCCAGGGCTCTGAGACCTGGGTGAGCCGGCGGGTCCTGTGCCTGGCCTCTGAGCCTGCCCACCCTTCCCTCAGGCCCTTGAGAACAGAAGTGACGGTAAATAATAGAAGCTTTGGCTGAGACAATTGGGACCTCCCCAGCCAAGAGAGGTCTGTTGGGAACAAGACCCACTTGGAGGGACAGCTGGTCACACGCCAACAGGGCACTCAGCCGGAGGGGCTCCCTCCTGTTCATGCAAGGGGCCAGCCAATGCTGGGTCCTCCTGCCCCCAGAACCAGGGACCCCTCCTCCCCGAGGGGAAATGACCTGCCCATGCAGCTGGTTGGTGCCCCAGCCAAGAATAGAGCTACCCCGGGCCTTACCAGGTCTGTGCCACCCACTCTGTCTGGAGGTCATGAAACAGCATCTCCTTGAAAAAGCACAATTCTCAGATTTGGCCCAGCCTGACAGAGTGAAGCTGGCCCGTGCAGCCAGGGCTGGGGAGTGGGGCACAGGGTCCTGCCGCTTTGAAGACCCACGATGGCTTCTTTTCGGTCTCTGTGTCTCTAATACTGGGAGCAGATGAGGAGGGGGCCGGGTCACAGGGGCTGAGTTTCCTATGGGGGCCGAGGTAGGAGTGTTTGTCTCCTGCCTAGTGACCCGTGGCCAAGCTGCTTCCAGAGAAGCCTAGTGCCCCGACTCTGGGCTGATGGCTCCAGCCAAGCAGAGAGCTCTCTTCAACCATAGGCCAGCAGCACCCCCAACCCTACTCCTCACTTCCCCACCCCCACCCCCCAACCTGGAGCCCAGCAGACTTCTCCCCCAGGCCTGGCTCAGAGTGACCCTCCTCCAGGAAGCCTTCCCTGAATAACAATGCCCAGCCTTGTCTGGTGCCCTGGTTAGTGTAGGTGGGGAGCCCTGTCCCAAAGGGGCCTGGGTAAAGACCTGGGAATGACCCCTCCCCCCCGCCCCCCAGGTGGTAGTGAATGCCCTCTTGGGAGCCATCCCCTCCATCATGAATGTGCTGCTTGTCTGCCTCATCTTCTGGCTCATCTTCAGCATCATGGGTGTCAACCTGTTCGCCGGCAAGTTCTACTACTGCGTCAATACCACCACCTCTGAGAGGTTTGACATCTCCGAGGTCAACAACAAGTCCGAGTGTGAGAACCTGATGCACACAGGCCAGGTCCGCTGGCTCAACGTCAAAGTCAACTATGACAACGTGGGTCTAGGCTACCTCTCCCTCCTGCAGGTGGTAAGTGTGACCTGCTGCCCTTGCACAAAACTGGGAGCGCTCCCAGATTCGTGTTGTACCTGGACCCACCCTTACTCCTTGTTAGGAGGCCCCCACCTGCTCCCAGTGCTAGGTAGTATCTAGACCTCTCTGGTCTCTGTGTGACGCCTGCCCCGTGGGGCCCTGGGGAGGCCCAGGCTGGGGTGAGGAGGGAGACTCATGGATGGTGGAAACGGCAAACAGCCCCTCTCCTCACACCCAACCACACTCTCCCAGGCCACCTTCAAGGGCTGGATGGACATCATGTATGCGGCCGTGGACTCCCGGGAGGTGAGTGGACCTCACCGAGACGTGGCCGGTGAGTGAGCCCGGGGAGAGGACGCAACCAGAGACACAGTGGCAATTCTGCCCATCCCCGGCCCCATGCCACCTCCTCAGAAGCCCCCAGACTCGGCAGCCTGGGGGTGGAAGGGCCCACCTCTGGGCCCCAGGCCCTCCTTGCCCACAGTGAGATGGGAAGCAGGGGGCAGCCAACACGCCCCCCCCAACCTCCCCATCCCACCCCGTCCCAGCCTGTCCTGTCCTGTGGCCTCTGCAGAAGGAAGAACAGCCCCAGTATGAGGTGAACATCTACATGTACCTCTATTTTGTCATCTTCATCATCTTTGGGTCCTTCTTCACCCTCAACCTCTTTATCGGCGTCATCATCGACAACTTCAACCAGCAGAAGAAGAAGATGAGTATCCACCCACCTTCCCTGGGCTCCATCCTCCCTCCTTCGCTCACCCGTCCCTTGGGATAGTCCCACGTGCTGCCTCAGCAGCTACTGTGCTGTGGCTGGTGGCGTGACTGAGGCAGCAAGCCCGGGTTCAGACCCTCCCCGGCGACCGTGAGAGAGGGACTAGGCCTCTGTGACCCTTGGTTACCTTGTTAAGAAACAAGGCTGATGCTCCCTACCCAGCTGGGTCATTCAGAGGACCCATCGAGATACGATGGCAAGTGTCTGGCCCCAAACAGGCTATGAGCCGGTGCTGGTCCTCTTCCAGACTCTGTCACCCCGCACCCCTCCCTCCTTTCTCTGGACCCCGCAGACCCCCATCCCCTTCCTCCCTCCCTCAGCCCCCATCACTGGCCCCTCCGGGTCCCCTGCTGGGGTGCGGGCTGCTTTAAGGGTGGGGCCTGAGGTGGGGAGGCCCTGGAGGCCGAGAAGAGGGGCCTCTGGCCTTACAGACACCATCCTACTATACTTCGGAGGGAAAGACATCTTCATGACGGAGGAACAGAAGAAATACTACAATGCCATGAAGAAGCTTGGTTCCAAGAAGCCTCAGAAGCCAATTCCCCGGCCCCAGGTACCGGCCCTCTGAGCCCGTCCTCCTGCAGCCTGGATGAACCTTCTGCCCAAGGGGGCCCATGGGGGCAAAATGCAGGCTGTCCTCCGCCCACCAGGTGGTGTCCCTGGCGTGAGGCTGGGTCCCCATGCTGGAGAGCTTGCTTCTTTGTAACCGCACTGAGGCACTGCGTGGGGGGGCAGCAGCAACCTGATAAACCCCAGTCGCTGGTTCGCCCCCAGTGTCAGCCCACCCCTTCAGCGGGTGGCCTCTGGGGCAAGGGCCCCTGGAAGCGGGAGGAAGAGGATGTCCAGACACCCTCCCCAGTGAGCAATGACTTCGGGAGAAGGATGAGAGGTTGCCGGGGGACCTTGAGAGGAGGAAGCGTCCTAGAGTGAGGAGGAAGCCCACGGACCCCCCAGCATGGCTTGTCCGGATGGGTCTCCCCTCCCTGCCGTGGCCGACTCTACCACAAGCCCTAACACCTCCTCCCCCCCGTCTCTGTCTCTCTCTCATGCTGTTGTGTCATCCTGTGTCTCCTGCCTGTCCACATCCTGTGTGGGTCCTGACCACTGCCCCCCCAAAATCCACCCACCTGCACCCCCGCACCCCTCCCACGCTGCAGAACAAGATCCAGGGCATGGTGTACGACTGCGTGACCAAGCAGGCATTCGACATCACGATCATGATCCTGATCTGCCTCAACATGGTCACCATGATGGTGGAGACGGACGACCAGAGTCAACTCAAAGTGGACATCCTGTACAACATCAATATGGTCTTCATCATCATCTTCACCGGCGAGTGCGTGCTCAAGATGCTCGCCCTGCGCCAGTATTACTTCACCGTCGGCTGGAACATCTTCGACTTCGTGGTCGTCATCCTGTCCATCGTGGGTGAGCGGGGCCGGGCCGGGCAGACTCACTCAGGGAGGCCTACCGTTCCCGTCCTTGCGTTCACGCACCTGCTCTTGCACGTGGAAAGCTCACACATGCATGTACACGGACACATGGGCTGCCTATGCACATCACACTTAATGCACAAAAGGCACATGGGCCGGACTCACAGGCAGTCTGTCACCTGCACACCCACGAATACACTTCTAGAAACCAGTAGATGCACACTTGGGTGCCCGTGAGCCCAGTGGAAGACAGAAAATGGTTCCAGTCTCCATACACACAGAAGTGCACAGACGTGTGTAATCATGATAGCAACTAACCACCATTTACTGACCATTTACTATTTGCCTGACACTGTGCTATCCCAGGAGGTAGGCACTGTTACCACCTCTGCTTTACAGATGAGGAAACTGAGTCACAAACAAGTCGCGCTCCGAGTCACACACACAGCTGTCCTCCCTCTCTGTCTCATCTGGGGCATCTACAAACAGCCTTGGGGGTCGCTTACCCTGAACCCCATCAGCTTGGGCACATCTCACCTCCTTCCGGCTGTGCCAGGGCAGAGCAGAGCCCCTGGCCCCAGGACCCTGGGGGAGCCCAGCCTCATGGGTCAGGCCATTTGGACTGTGCTTCTCTTGCTCGCTTCTGGGGAGGAGCATACCAGGCCAGGCCCCCTTGAGCCCTGCATGCGCCTCACCCCCCGCTCCCTGATCCCGCCTCCTACCCCAAGGACAGTGCTCCTCACACTTGCTCCCTGCAGGCCTCGCGCTCTCCGATCTGATCCAGAAATACTTCGTGTCTCCCACACTGTTCCGAGTGATCCGCCTGGCCCGGATCGGGCGTGTCCTGCGGCTGATCCGTGGGGCCAAGGGCATCCGGACTCTGCTCTTTGCCCTCATGATGTCCCTGCCGGCCCTCTTCAACATCGGCCTCCTCCTCTTCCTGGTCATGTTTATCTACTCCATCTTTGGCATGTCCAACTTTGCCTACGTCAAGAAGGAGTCGGGCATCGATGACATGTTCAACTTTGAGACTTTTGGCAATAGCATCATCTGCCTCTTCGAGATCACCACGTCAGCTGGCTGGGACGGGCTCCTCAACCCGATCCTCAACAGCGGGCCCCCCGACTGTGACCCGACACTCGAGAACCCGGGCACCAGCATCAGGGGTGACTGTGGCAACCCCTCCATCGGCATCTGCTTCTTCTGCAGCTACATCATCATCTCCTTCCTCATCGTGGTCAACATGTACATCGCCATCATCCTGGAGAACTTCAATGTGGCCACCGAGGAGAGCAGCGAGCCCCTCGGCGAGGACGACTTCGAGATGTTCTACGAGACATGGGAGAAGTTCGACCCCGACGCCACGCAGTTCATTGCCTACAGCCGCCTCTCAGACTTCGTGGACACCCTGCAGGAGCCGCTGAGGATCGCCAAGCCCAACAAGATCAAGCTCATCACGCTGGACCTGCCCATGGTGCCGGGGGACAAAATCCACTGCCTGGACATCCTCTTTGCCCTCACCAAGGAGGTCCTGGGCGACTCTGGGGAAATGGACGCTCTCAAGGAGACCATGGAGGAGAAGTTCATGGCCGCCAACCCCTCCAAGGTCTCCTACGAGCCCATCACCACCACCCTCAAGAGGAAGCACGAGGAGGTGTGTGCCATCAAGATCCAGAGGGCCTATCGCCAGCACCTGCTCCAGCGCACGGTGAAGCAGGCGTCCTACATGTACCGTCACAGCCAGGACGGTAGTGGGGACAGTGGCCCGGAGAAGGAGGGCCTGATCGCCACCACCATGAGGAAGATGTACGGCCATGGGAATGGGAACAGCGGCGTTCCGAGCACGGGTGAGGAAAGGGGCTGGACAGGGGACACCGGACCTGCCACTGGGCTCACGCCCATGAGCCCCTCGGATGCTGCCCTCCCTCCCTCCCCACCCCTGGGGCAGACAGCGCGCCCGGGGGTCAAAGAGTCTCTTGTCTAGTAGCAGCAGCGAGGTAGCCAGCTGAGCCTGGCACGGCCCCCCAAAACTCACTCATGGTGCCTGCTTGCTGAGGGAGCAGGCTTTGAGTCTACCGCTGACCGGCTCCCTGTCAGGGACAGGTTGTGGCCACGCTGGGGCTGACACCCAGGCCATGGAAAATGGGAATTGCCCTCAGAGGCTCCACCCTGGGCCTGAGGCTCCCCCCACCTCCCCCCGCCTCCCTGGTTTCTCACTTCAAGTTGCTCTCACCCCCTCACGGGCCTCTCCTCTTGGGGGAGGTTGGAACACCAGAGATCTCTGCCCCCCACGCGGGGGAGGAGCCAGCCTACAGTGGAGGGATGAGCTGTCGTCTTGCCACCAGAGTCTTAAGGGCTACAGGCCCCCCCAGGCCTCTCCCGGATAAAGATGTCTTAACTCAGTGAGAGCGGACACCTGACCCAGGGCCTGCCAAGCCTCCCCTGACTGGGATACAGCTTCGTCCTGCCAGCTCACGAATTTCCTGGAGAAGAGAAACGTCACTGGTCCACAAGTGGCTCCCCGAGTCCGATTGGCCACTGGATCCTGATGCATCTGGCGGGGCTTGTGGCCCCTGAAACCACATCCCGCTTTGTCCATTGTGCAGCCCCTGGCTCCCTGGCTGGCCCCTGGGGGAAGAGCTGGAGGGAGGAGTCCACTCAAGAACCGTCTTCTTCTAGGAAGCATGGCGGGTTGATAGAGGTGGGGTCCCGCCAGCCGCATCACTGCACGGGAGGCTTCTTTGGCCAGAGCGCCCAGACCTGGGGCGGGGGCAGGGACCCTGGAGCTCAGGAGGTAGATTTCTGTTCCCTCCCTCCCCGATCAGCACCACAGGGCTCTCTGTAGCCTCACCCAGCCTCATCCCCCACCACACCCATCTCTTCCTCCCTCCTCATCCTTCTCTCCCCCTCCTCAAAGTGGTCCCAAGAGTGTTGTCGCCGAGCCCATGTTAGACATTTCAACCCTGGGACGTGCACAGCTCACCTGGCTCCGGCCCAACCTTCCAACTTCCCGCTGCCTGGCACGCCGGGCAGCATCTTTGTTGGTACCACTGGTCTGGGCATGGCTGTGCCAGGCCTCTTCTGTCGCTCAGAGAACGGACGGAGGCCGAGCCCAGAGGGGGCAGTGAGACACCTGCTCAGGCGTCACTGGATTTACTCACTTGCGCGTGTGCCTTGTGTCTGCTTCACGCCTGTGTGTACAGCTGTGTGTGTGCTCAAGCCCACGAAGCACTGTGTCCCGCCTGTGTGTGTGCGTATTGTGTCAGTGTGCCCCTGTAGTCTGGTGTGTGTGTGTGTGTGTCCTAGGCAGGTGTGCCTGTGCTGTGTGGATGAGTGTGAACGTGTCTGGTAAGGCTTGCACGTTGAGTCCCCGTTGCCCTTAGTTCCTCTTCTCTCTCTTGTTTCTTGTGAACAGTTTGATTAAAACTCAGGAAGCAGCGAAACCTCCAAAACAACGTGGGTGTGTGGGTGTGGGTGTGTGTGGGTGTGTGCGCGTGTGCCCACAGGCTGGAGCCTTCCTTTCTGTCTGCCCTACTCTCTGGCCTCCTTGCCACCCATTGTCCCTTCTTCCTATTCCGTTCATCACACCCATTGCCCCAGCCCCACTCCCCGTCTCTTGCCTGTGTCCTCCGTGGAAAGGAGGCCCTACTCCTTCTACCTTCCTGCAACCGTCTGTCTCTTGCTTCAGAAGATGCGCCCTAGAGAGGGCAGCCTCCTCCCTGACCGGCACCCTGCCCCCTGCCCTTCCCTCAAACTGGGGCCCCAAACTGGGGTGGCCCCAAGAGCCTCCGCATCTGTTGGACTGGATACTCACCACTGGACTTCATACAGACTGCAGAGCCTCCCCTGCCTATGGCCCCCTCCCCTGCACACCCACACCCATTCCCACTCTGTCTGGGTGGGAACAGACCCAAGCCAGGCTGGCAGGCAGGCTCCTTTGTACAGTTCTTATAATAAACCTTCCCCGCCCACCCCTCTCCCTGGGTGCCTCTCATGTGCGGGCTTCTTCCTTCTGCACCTCCTTGTGTGGACGTTGGCAGGGTCTGAGGGCTGCTAGAAGCAAGAAGGGCTGGTGGGGATTGGAGCCAAATGGGGAAGACTTGGGGAACCTCAGGGTGGGTAGAGGGCAAGATAAGGAGGGCCCCAACTCCCTTTCTGGCCCAGTCCAGCTCTCTCCTGCCCCCCCTCCAAAAGGAGGCTTGGGTTTTGAAAATTAATAAAGGGAAGCCTCACTGAAACGGAGTTGGGAGGTTCAGCTGGGGGAGCTGTCAGGCTCCACCACTCCTCATCAATTGCAGACCCAATAGGAAGAGGTGGACCTTGCAGTGGCTACCACTTCACTATCTGGCAGGGAGAGGAAAGGCTTTCCTCCTGCCCTGGCAACAGCCCAGCCAATGAGAGACACTCAGAACTCAGCCAATGAGAAGCCACCATACTCCCTACTCCCACTTTCCTCCAATAGACTTTGCGTTTACAACAGCCTTCCCAAAGTCCCCCTTTCCTCTATAAAGGAGCCGGTTCTCCCTTTCGTGGCGGTGCCTCTAGTTTTGCCTAGCTTGCTTCTTTGGTCT